GCCCCGCCCCTGCCCAGCCGTCGTGATGTCAGGGAGAGCGATGCTCCAGTTGTGCCGCGCCGTGAGGAGCGCGTCGGGAGCGGTGTTACTGCAGCAGGTCCCGGCGCCGGGAACAGGCTGATCCCAGTGTCTGAGGAGTTTCATCCCAGCGGAGCTCCAGGTCACCTGCGCTCACCGATCTGCTTCAGTGGTTTAGACTTCCAATCTCCAGGTTTCTGCACTCAAGTTCTGAGTTTCAGGCATATAGTTTCATAGACAACGTCTGCACACAGGTCTATCAGCAGCCCTGCTCACCTCTATTTCCGATTAAACAGCTATCATTAGGTGCTCAATTTATGCTGAGTGGACACAGCTGAGAATAGCTTGTGTAACACTCTCCCAGTAAGCAATTGTTTTCCTTCTTACAGGAGTCTAACTGGTTACACTTCAGGCCAAATACCTGAGTGAGGAGAGTCTGACGTTCAGAAACTGGGGACAAGGTTGATACCAAAGACAAACCCCATTCAACACTTGAAGAAGTGAAAGCCAATTTCAAAATCGTCCCCAAACAGAAAACTGAAATCGAATTCGCTTGTCATACAGAACTCCACTGGGATAAAAACCAGTGGGACAGTGGTTCTCCAGCAACACGGTTTGGAGTCACTGCATTAAAACACGAAGAATACTATTTCAGAATGCTTCTCCGCTCCCTGCCTGACCCTTCCGACTTCTGTAAAGCAAACTGTTCGTAAAGCTAAATTCACACTGCAGCGGGAAAGCAAATGTAACCATAACAGTACATAATCATAGAGCACATTAGTTCAACATCAACCTGTATCCTTCCTTTCTCCGGAACCTATTCAAACCTTCATACAGCAGAGTCAGCAAATGAGAAGTTAACAGCTGGGGATCTGAACAGAACCAACATAGGTCTATTTTGAATATATATATATACACAACTTTTAAAACTATTCAGTGTGTCTGAGGTTCATACAAGGAATTAAGACGTGCAGGGAGTGTTTGAAGTTACAGATTAGTTCAATACTGAAGCTGGAAGTTCTGCCTCTTGCATAAATTAGCACTGATTCCAGTGCAAA